CAGATGGTATGAAGGTGGAAAGGGGGAATGATGGGGCAGAAAGGATTAAGCGGGGGAGGGCTGGGAGAGCTGTGCAGAGTAAAGGGCTGGGGAGGGAGAACAAACACTAAGGTGGTTTTAAAAAGCCACGTAGAAACCTACTCTCCTGTAAGCTTACTAAAAAATAATAATGAAAGTTTGAATGCAGGATAATAATGTTCCTCCCAGAAGTCATAGGTGCCAAGAATGGGATACCTCCCTTCAATTGTCCCCAAAACAAAAATAAGCTACTGCCGTTGTTATTGACTGCCAGCCATAATTTGACAGTAAGACCCTAGTGCTGATGGTACCACACATTTTTGTCAAAAGACATGGAGAAATGAAGCTGCAGTTCACTTAGAAGCTTCCTTCTTGCTGGCTAGCTTTTGTACTGTTACAAAGTACTATATAAATTGCTCAGGAAGAAAAGTCCTCAACAGTCTAACCCATCTGTGAATCCTGCAAACAATAATAACAACCAACCTGGCAAAATATGTGCTTTGGTGCAACAGGGGCATGAATGTTATTGGGCTAACACATTGCTTTTTTATGAGATTTAAGGCCTGTTCCACAGGAGGAAATTCATGTCTGGATCTGTAAACATGCCAAGAACCCAACTCAAGGCTGGGAAGGTCAGAAACCCTAGGGGAGAACCTACTACTAGTATTTTGGTAAATGAACATGGTATCAAACTGCCTTCCAAGTACTTATCTTTATACCTATAGAGTAATGCAGCTATCCCAGCCCTTATCTTTCTGCAGTGGGCAACAGTTAATACAGAGACTCGCAACTGGTCAAAGTACAGTCAATAAGTTATCTGTGGAGTGCTTGGCCTTGGATGGGACAGCTATCCGAGGCTCAGGGAACACTGGGGAAGAAGAGGCAGAAAGATTTAAAGAGCCAAAGTTTGGACAGGACTATTGCAAAACAGTGTCTTCTGGATATGACACAGCTGATGTACTCATGACAGACTACAGTTATGGTTACCTGCACAAGACCTGCACAAGACTGAGCCCATCAACATTTCAGCTCGGAAAGGGAAAGAGCTCATGAGGCCCTACCCCCTGCCCCCCACCTTGAGGGACTATTGAAAGTCGATGGTGGCTTGGGAAAGGGCTGTCACGTCCTTCAGTGGTATAACCACACCTAATTGCCCATGCTCCAGTATATAACCTCCCACCCACACTCATGAAGGCAACCCTGCTAAGCTCAGCAAGCTACACGTACAAAAGACATGAGAGTCGGAAGGAGAAGAAGGGTTTCATGAGTCAGGAAAAGAGGTGAGAAAGACTAAACTTCATTATGTACAAGGATGAAACTGCCAAAGAATAAAAAAAATATTAAGTGGAAAAAAAAAAAACCCAAACCTAAAACCCTCATTAAATTACAACAAGGTTCTTAGAGCAAATATGAAGGTTAGAGCAAGTGATGAAAGATTTTCCAAATATTCTTTTGATTCTGGCTAAATATTTTCTAGATTTGGGTAAATCTATTTGGGGAGGGGATAAAATGCATAGGTAGCACAATTGATTAGCCTGCAGATTCAAACAGTAACGCTTATAAATATGTTTAAAGTAGAACAATGTACTGAACCAAAATGTGGTTTAAAAGAAAGCAATATCCAAACATAAACACACAGAAGAAAACAGGAAGCTGAGAAAAAAATATGAGATCCAAATACCTAAGGACTAAGAAACCTTTATAGAGGGTAATACACAGAGGGAACACCTCAGACAGAGCAACAGAATGAGAGGAAAAATATTAACCAATATGGTGTGCACTTAACATTTACAGTCATGGAGGGGAATTATATCTATAGATATGCCATCATTATTTATTTATTTATTATTCATTTATTTATTTATTATTCATCTATTTATTTATTTTTATTAATTTTGTCTTTTTGAGACAGGGTCTCCCTATGGCCCCAGCTGGCATGGAACTCATTAAGTAGAGAAGACCGGCCTTGATCTCATAGATCCTCCTGCCTCTGCCTCCTGAGAGCTGAGATTAAAGGTTTGCACCACCACACCCAGCTCTATTTCTTCCTTTCTGACTCAGAAATCCATTATCAGTTTCTGGCCTCCAATTCTTTTTTTTTTTTCTTTTCTTTTCTTTTTTTTGAGGTGAAATAATTTCTTTTAAAAGATAAGAATTTAAGGAACATAATTATCTTGGAAACTTATATTTTAAAAGCCATAGGCTTACTAAAAGAGATCTCAGATCCTATCTGTTCACATAATTTTTGTCCCTCCGGCCTGGATCCTCTACAACATATAAAAACATGTAGTAAATTGCAAAGAGGAGGGAGGCCATGTGAACATTTCAGCACAAAATGTAATTCTCTTCAAGATACAATTATTACATTTAACTGCCAGGTGTGGTGGCTCATGCCTGTAATCGCAGCACTAGGGAGACTAAGACAGGAGAATTGCTATGAGTTTGAGTCTAGCCTGAGCTACATAGTGAGACTCTGTCTCAAAAGAACAAACCAAAATGACTCAAGAGAGCGTCTATGCCACTTCCTCTTAGTTCAGCAGTCGACTGTATTAGTGCATCCTGTCTCAGCATACATCTGCTTCAGTGGTGATCAATGAATACCACCCAAGTTCCTTCATGTTCTTATTTTAGTTCATAGAAACAGAAAGTATGAAAATAAGTGGATTTAAGAATATGGATATTTCTACAACATACATATGTAATAAATCAGCTCTAAGAAAACAAAAAAGGAGATGACAATTCTCAATCATGTGCAAGAATCTGTGCAAACTTTGAGAGAGATGGAAGGACACGGAAAAGAACATGCCTAGTGTGAGATTGCAGCAGGATCCCTTTCAGTAATTAGTTCTGATTTCTTTGGTTATTAGAAGATTAGAATTGATTTTGTGTGTATGTGGCTTTTTGCAGTTGTTTTTCCACTGGAATGTTGCCTCTTTGACAGGTTAACCTTTGATATTAAGATTTACTTCATACGTATATGCATACTGTTCCTGACAACGTTTATGTCTTAATATTATTCAGAGATTTTGCTGTTTTAGAAAATATTTTCATCATTGTATGCAATGTTTCCTTGATGGCTTTCATTCCTCAAATCTAAAGGAATATACTTCGATAGATTAATTTCCCCTAGAATATTTTAGTGATTCAATATTGAACCTATAGGCTTAAAAAAAAAAAAAAGATCTCATTTAAAGAGAAGACTTTGAAATTGAAGAATTGAAAGTAGAGCCAGGCATAGTGGTGTGGTGGTGTACACCTTTAATTCCATTTAATCCCAGCACTTGGGAGGCAAAGGCAGGCAGATCTCTGTGAGTTCGAGGCCAGCCTGGTCTCCATAGCAAATCCAGGCCAGCCCTGATGCAAAAAAACCAAAAAAAAAAAAAAAGAAAAAAAGAAAAAAAGAAAAATTGAAATTGTAAGTAGAGAATTTAACAGTAATCATTATTTCAATCCAGAAATATTTTCCCTCTAAATATTATTTGACAAATATAGTCATGTCTCAGTATCTACATAGTTCAACCAACTATGGATTGAAAATATTACAAAATATAAAACTGCACTTGTACTGAACATGTAAAAATACTTTTTAGTCCCCATATGATGCAATATAACAGATATTTACATATATTTATAATGTATTTGATCTTACACGTGATGAGTGATGATTTCAAGCTTTTGAGGAGGTTGGGCATAGTGGCAATGCCTTTAATTCCAGTATTCAGGAGGATAAGGAAGGTAGATTTCTGTGAGTTCTAGAATAGGCAGGTATACATAGTAAGACAGTATATATATTCTTCATCATATGAGAAGAGTGTGGGGACCATGTTAAACAGTGCCCATCGTATGATAGTCACAGTGCACAGTATCATCTAGTGTTTGAACATCCTCAGCTTTGGCATCGATGGGATTCCTGGGAAGAATTTCCCATGTATCTTAAGGGACAACTAGGTTTACTGAATTTCTGCTAAATGTCAGCACTATTCCTGTAGCAATGATGAAAATGGCCCATCTTGCAGCCTTGGTGGTGTGCATCTGCAATTCTCCCACCTACAGGAAGGCACTGAATTCAAAGCCAGCCTCAGCCATACAGTGCATCCCTGTCTAGAAACAGCAAGGGCTAGGGATAATGCTCAGTGTTGCCTAGCATGGACTGAGCCCTGGGTGCCATCCTCAGAACTGAAAAAATAAAAGAGGGAAATGATCCTCCTGAGCATGTTTCTCAAACCCAGAATCCTGCTACTAAATATTTCCTATGCCTGGCTCCAACCATAGACATGTCTGTGAAACTATTCAGAGAAAAGGTCTGGCATTAGTGATTTAAAAAAAATTATTTATTATTTTTATTTCATGTGTGTAAGCATATTGCCTGCATGTGTGTAAGTGTGCCCATGTCGTGTAATGCCTGTGGAGGTCAGAAGAGAGTGTCGGATCCCCTGGAACTGGAGTCAGCCAGTTGTTAGCCAGTTTGTGGGTGTTGGGAATCGAACCTGGGTCCTCTGGAAGAACAGCAAGTGTTCTTAACTGCTGAGCCATCTCTCCAGCCCTGCACTGGCATTTTTAAAGTTCCCCGTAACACTAATGCACAGCTAGTGCAGCCAGAGTGCAACCCACATAGAGCTACAATCATGGCACCCTGATGTCTTCCAACTTGCCAGTCCCAGGCTGGACATACTGCTGTGCTCACGTCAGAAGCATGACAATTCCATAACTCCAGTGCACTACCCACTGGAGAATGCATTCTGAGCACAAGAGAGTCAGTGTGTCATTTGGCTGGTTAGATATTTTACCTAGTCACTGCTTGCTCATAAGCCTCTCACATACAACCCTTCTTAGAACCTACTTGTCACAAAAGTTCTTCTCATATTCATGTGTTTTGTTTTGTGACCCATTGATTTTACATACACACGCCCTTCAAATGACCCTAGGCCCAGGCAGAACCCAGGTCTCACTAGGCCATGTACAAAGACTGCTGTTCAACTTACAAAGAATGGAATCAGGCCAGCTGCCTTGTCTTGTTCCATGGCCTCCCGCAGGGCAGAAGCTCGCATGGAGAAGTTGCCATCTGAAGGAATTGCTTTTAATTTCACACCACCAATTAATGCAGCTCTTTCCACAGAGGAGTGTGCCTACGAAGAATGGGTACAGTTGAATCTGTGAGGGTGTACTCAGCCATCACCACCCTGAATCTCTGTCTCTATGGTATACCTGACCCAGGCTCTTGGTGCCCCATGAAGGTGGCAGAGCTGAGTTACTCTCCTGTCTCCTCACGAAGGCAGCTCTTTTGCAGACTTGTTTCTATCCTGGAATCTTGCTTTTGAGTCTAATGAATCAAAATAAGGCAATCTAAAACAATCAAAACAGTTGAGAAGGGAGAGAGAACATAAGAAGTGAGCCAAACACACTAAATACTTCTATTTGCAGGGCCTTCTGAGCATTGAAAGAACGTCAAACCTTCCTCTCAAGCACAGCTGTGAGCTGGGCTGAGTAGCCACGCCAAGCTTAGAGCTTTCCTCCCTTTTGGAAGTAAAGAATCAGGCTCTGAGAATGTGCATGATTTGCAGGGCTGAGATTTGGCGTCAGGCCTTGGAGCCTCACATTCAATTTTTCCACAGGTGCTTTGAAGGCACAGGGACACTATGCAAGGCCATGTTACAGAAATGGTAACCAGCCAGCTGGGGGCGGGGGCTACTCTGTTTTCTTTCTGACTAGATCTATCAAGCTCCCACATGATTTCAGAGTAATCCCTGAGGAACTACCACTGGATTTGACATGATGCAGAGTGCTGTTGCAATTCAGATCTGAGAGGCGTTCTGGGGCTTTGGGCTCACACCCCTCCTTAGCACACTCACCTGGTCGGATGAGTAAGCCACCAGCTTTTCCATGATGGCACCTTGTGTCAGTTCTGGGGAGGTTGCCTGCAGCTGGTGAGTTACTTTCGACCGAGCAGCCAGCAGGGCCACCAAGGTGGCTTCACTGGCACTTCCCTAAATCCAAGAGAAAAAGCCCAAATGAAATTCAAAGTGCAGCAAAGGAACCATTGTCTAGCATATTATTTGTGTGCATAGTTCTTTAAAGAGGCACCTAAAATTGCAAAACTCTCAGGGTTTTTTTTGCACAGGAACCATCTAACATCTGCAGGGGCCCCTTTAGTTCTTGTAGTTAGACACAGCTCTAGCCATATTATGTCAGTGAGCTAACATGCTGACCCCATAGCATATACAAGGCCTTCAAATTCACTCTGCAGATGTTTTCTCATGGGCTCCCTAGGCCTGGCCTGGAACATACTGTCCCCACTTCCAGCAGAGGAAGAGAATGACCTGTGGCATCCTGCCCAAGCCCAGCTCTGTGTTCCTATGCATGTGGACAGAACAATTTGTATTTGCTCATAACATAGGGATGCGTTTTCCTTGAGACACAGAGGTTGACTTGGAGGGTTTCTCTCAGTCTTCAATGTTACAGGCTGAATTGCACACTCTCCTCCCTTCACATATTGAAGCCCTAAACCCCAGAAAATCAGAATGTACTATGTTTAGAAATAGGACCCTTACAGCCAGGCATGATGGTACAGTCCCATAATCCTAGCACTTAGGAGGCTGAAGCCTGAGGATAAATGTGAGTTCAAGGTCGGCCTGGGTACATAACAAGTACCAAGTCAGCTAGGCTTCAGTGTGAGATTATTTCTAAGCATCTTTTGTAGAAAGCCAAATTTTTCTTTTAACATTTTATCCTCCCTTCTTTGACCATGGTTTCCCACTTTGCTTTTACCATTCTACTGATTTTACTTCTTCTTTTCTCAACTTATCTTCCTTGAGGAAGTGGGTGAGCTTTACAGATAAATGCCTTTATTCATGTCTGTGTAGTGCATGAGTTCAAATAAACAGATCCTCCTCTTTACCAGCATCGGAGTGATTTGCACCTTGTCTTCAGGCTGTATTTTCATGAGCAGTCCTTTTGTGCATGGCTTGGTCAGCTTTCTCAGGAACTCAAAGCTCTTGAACAGATACTGCATTGCATACTTCTCCCAGGCAGCCCATTATTTCCTCCTCATGGTTTGTTTATTTCTATGCCGCCCCCCCCCCCCCCCATTTTTTTTTTCCAGGTCCTTTTTTTTTTTTTTTTTTTCCCCCCCCCCCCCCCCCCATTTTTTTTTTCCAGGTCCTTTTTTTTTTTTTTTTTTTCCCCCCCCCCCCCCCCCCATTTTTTTTTTCCAGGTCCTTTTTTTTTTTTTTTTTTTCCCCCCCCCCCCCCCCCCATTTTTTTTTTCCAGGTCCTTTTTTTTTTTTTTTTTTTCCCCCCCCCCCCCCCCCCATTTTTTTTTTCCAGGTCCTTTTTTTTTTTTTTTTTTTCCCCCCCCCCCCCCCCCCATTTTTTTTTTCCAGGTCCTTTTTTTTTTTTTTTTTTTCCCCCCCCCCCCCCCCCCATTTTTTTTTTCCAGGTCCTTTTTTTTTTTTTTTTTTTCCCCCCCCCCCCCCCCCCATTTTTTTTTTCCAGGTCCTTTTTTTTTTTTTTTTTTTCCCCCCCCCCCCCCCCCCATTTTTTTTTTCCAGGTCCTTTTTTTTTTTTTTTTTTTGGTCTTTTTGAGACAGGGTCTCCTTGTAGCCCCAGCTGACCTGGAACTCGCTATGTAGACCAGGCTGACCTTGAACTCAGAAATCTGCCTGCCTCTGTCTTCTGAGTTCTGGGACTAAAGGAGTGCTCACATCTGGCTTTTTCCCAGGATCTCTTAAAAAGTGGATAGAAAAGAAAATTCTACCTCTCTTTGGAGCTTTGGAATTTGAACAACTTTCTCTAAACCACTGTCTAACGAAGGACTCCCATTCATTACCTGCTGGTTGGGTACTATCCATGCCCAAAGAGAAAATTATCTTCCTTTTGTCAACAAAAATTCATTAAAAAAATTCCAGTGAAAAATACTTGTCCATAGACCATTAGCCCTCAACAGGCCATGGCAGATAAGGTTTGAGCAAACTTGAATGTCAAGGTGAATGGCTGTCTGCCCTTTTGTGGAAGGGATCTTTGCTGAGGGCCGACGATGACAGTGACTGTTCTTTGCCAAGACAGTCCAGTTTGATCACTGCTCCCAGTGGCCAGAAACGTGAGACTGAGCAGATCTGAGTTGCATCCAGCTAAGCTTGTACACTTGCTGCTCCTCTACCTGGAACTAGTCTCCCCCCACATTTTTGTGTGGCCTGATGATGCCTTTGCTTCAGGCAGACAAAGGTTGCCATGGCGAGCCTGCTCTGAGGTGGGAGGGAACGCTTAGAGAGCTCATGCTCAGGGCTGCTGATGCCCTGAGCAAAAAGATCCTTTCATCTTCTGGTTTGTACAAATGTCACCTCACACAGGGTGAGAAATTGGCAGCTTTTCTTCCAGAAGAGCTTTCAAACCCAATTAAGGGACTGACTTTGCAGCTCCCCGTTGTCCAGCCTCACAATCATGGTTTGCCATTCTGCTCAGACGCCCGCTCCTGCGCAGATGCCAGGAAGCAGTGATTACAACTCTGAGAGGATCGATAAGGCAGGCTGCCTCACAAGATGTCACTGGGCTTGCTTTTAGGGCCTCATCAGCTGCAAAGGGCCAGCTCCCTACCACAAACACAGACCCGGAAGTCTGCTTTCAATCAGCCCAAACTAAGTGGGTTGAGCTCATAGGGGTTTTGTGGGAGCCCACTGGGCTGAGAGATGCCAGGATTAGTCCTAATCTAATGCTAGAACTTCTGAAAATGAGATTGTCTTTTTGGAAAAGGTTGTTCAACCCATGATAGCACACCTCTAGACAATATGCCAAGAAAATGATCAGGGCAAGCTGGTGTGACAGGTGGCACCAACTTTATACACTGTCTTTAATTAGTTTGGCATCAATTTCCTTTCTACGAAAACTACTATAAATAATATAATATAATGCAATCAATCCTCATAAACATTTTGAGGATGAAAATGATTGTACAAAGCACAATAAACCCCCTTAAAACATAGTCAAGTTCATAGTAGGCATTCAATAAATTTAGCTATTATAATAGATACTCCATAGGTTATAGGGCATTTGTGAAATTCTTTAAGAAGCATCATCTTGGGGGTACTGAAAACACTTCAGAATGAAATTGTTTTTGCTCTAAGACAAGTGACCCAGAAATGCTCTCTTCTGTGGTTGTGGTGATTCTATTTGGGGTTTGGGGGAGCGCAGGTGTGTCACACGGACACAACTGGAGGAAGCTGATGATCTTGGAAGGCCTTTCATCCTAAAGGCTGTCCTCTGCAATCTTATTCACAAGAGTTAAAAAAAAATGTAATACAACACATCTTAGGTATTATTTATATAAATTGTGGCACATCATAGAAAATCATATAGCAATATTCTCAAAAAATATTTGATTAGGAAGGGACCAGTAAGATAGGAAGAGGCAGGGTAGTGGGGGAAGGGAATGGATAAAATAACGTGTAATAACATATATATATATGTACAATAATTAAACCCTTTACTCTGTATGCTAACTTAAAAAGTAAATTAAGAAAAATTAAAGATGCCTGGTGTGGTGGTCACACACACCTTCAAACCTAGAATGCGGGAGGCAGAGGCAGGTGGATCTCTGTGAGATTGACCCTTGCCTGATCTACATTGCAAGTTCCAGGTCAGCTGGAGCTACAAGGAGACTCTGTCTCAAACAGCAACATCAGAAAAACAAATAAATGAAAACAACAAAAAAGAAAAAAAGTAAAAATATTTGTGGAGCAGCGAGAGGGCTCAGCGGGTAGAGGTGTTGCTTGTTGTGCAAGCCTGGTGATTCACAGAAAGGTGGAAGGAGACAACTGACTCCACAGAGTTGTCCTTTGACATCCACAAGCATCTCTGCCATCGCGCACGCACGCGCGCGCGCACACACACACACACACACTATATATATATATAATATTAAAAATATTTAAATAATGAAAAACATAACAAAATAAAACACTATACATAAAATCTGTATGTATCTTACCATCTCAATTGTTTAACACACATATATAGGTATTGGAATAACACTAGAGAGAATTATGCTCTAAAATAGTTACTGGATATTCCCCATTTTTATGAGTGCCTATTTTCCATAAAGAGAGGGCATGATAATTTTTTAAAGTAAAAAACAGAGCCAAGACTGACACTGAAGATAGCAAATTGGCAATGTGGGTAATTGCAGTGATATACAGTTCACCCAAAATATAGAGGAGAAAATGACAGAAAAAGAAAAACAGTCCAAGAAAGAAAGGAATTACGGAAAGGCACCCCATCTGTGGAAACTGGAGCACTGAAGCATCCGAGAACAGGGCGGAGGTGGTTCAGCCACTAAGACAGAGCAGAGCAAGTGCCTGCAGCAGGAGCCGAAGGCTGGGTGGTGTGGTACACGGGCTACTGCGTGTGGTACTGTACTGAAAAAGTAAGCTTGCTCCTGGGCAGACCTACTGTGAAGAACATGAGCCTGGCCAGAAATGAGTGGACCAGAACTCCAGTACACTCCCATGTAAGCAGCTCTGCTGGCCTCTGGAACCCTGGCTGGCTGCCTTCTCTCTGGACTCTTAGGCTTGATTATCCTTGACAAGGATGACTAGGGTGTCCCAGGAGATTCAAGACTCAGTCATCAGAACCTGGAAAGCCACCAGGGCTTCACCAAGAGAAAATGACACTGAATGTGTTTTGGGGACATGTGTGGCAGTCCCTTCTCAAATCAGAACAGCACCCACACAATGCTTTTTCCTGGAGTCTTAGCCAAAGAGGCTTGGCTGTGCTGCATAACCTCTGACAAAAAGAAAACTGTCCATGGAGCTGTGTTGGGACTTTGCTAGAACATTTCTGCTCCCACTTTAAAAGCCTGGCTCACAATATTCCATTTATGTTTTGATTATAGTTTAGTATATATACATATTTTAATATATAGTTTTAATTTTAGTTGTTTTGTTTTTTTTTGTTTGTTTTCTTTTTGAGCAGGGCCTTATTATGTGTCCTTGGCTGGTTTGGAACTCGCTAACTCACTGTGTAGACCAGACTGGCCTTGAACCAGCTAGCCTGAATTCACTATGCAGCTGAGGATGATCATGAACTCCTGATTCTCCTGCTCCTACTTCCCTAATGCTAGGACTAGAGGTATGCTCCTGCACACCCAGCTCTAGATTAATTTTTATCAGCTCCCTACTTACAATGACATAGATATGATGCAGTGACATAAGTAAGGAATGTCAATGTGGTTTTGAGCTGTAGGGCCAGTGGCCCTAAGGAAACTACCACCAGTCATGCATTGACTGTAGAGGCATTAGAATTAAGTAGGACTCATGTTCCCAGGCCCACCTGAGGCCTGCCAACTTTGAATCTTTCAAGGTAGAGGCTAGGTACCCACTCTGGGAACAACTCCTATCAGGGGTCCACTACAGACTGTATGCAACAGGTAGACATCATCTCTCAGTGCAAAGATGCCAGATCTCCATCTCCAGACTCTGTGATTATTTCTCTTACAAGGGAAAAAGGACTTTGCTGATGTGATTATATTAAGAACCATGACCTGGGAAGATTATCTTGGATTATCTGAGTGGACTCAATCCGATCACATGGGTTCTGAGAAAGTGGAGACCCACTTCCTCATCTGCAGTCAAAATAAGATGTGAACATGAAAGAAAGGTCAGAGAAATGGAATACAGCTGCTTCTGAAAATGGAGATGGGACTCATGGACCAACAAAGTCTAGAAGGTTCTAGAAGATAGCAGAGGAAAGATGGGCTTTTCCCTTGGGCCTCTAAAGTGACCATCTTGGTTTTAGCCCCATCAGAGCTAGGTCAGACTTACAGAACAGTAGGGTAATAAATGTGTTTGAAACCACTCATGTGTGTATAGCATCCACGAGGAAAAGGACACACATGAGGCTGAAAACACGTGGTCTTATCAAGTAGTGTCAGAACTGAACACAGAGAGGCTTGCTTCCCAATTTAGTTTGGCCACATCAGAAATGTAATGTTGCACAAAGACATTCTCCCGTCTGCTCCAGTGTTCTCTGCCATCAAATGAATGGAACCATCACTACTGTAAGTTTCTCAGAGCTTCCAAGAAACCATGAAAAAACAAATCCTTCTTTCTAAAGGTTGACAATGCTCTGTCGGTGTCACAACCACGAACTTCATATGAGAAAAATGATATAAGGGAAAGTGGTGAATCAATATAGTTCATCTTCTGTGCAACAATAAAAAAGCATTTCATTTTGTAACAGGGCCTCACTATGTAGCCGTGGTTAGCAGGAGCAAGCTATGTAGACCAGACTGGCCTGGAACTCACAGAGATCCTCCTTTCTCTGCCTCCTGAGTGCTGAGATTAAAGGTGTGTACCACCACTCCTGGCCCCAAATTTTTTTAAAAAGGCATAAATTTCAATCGTTCACCCTGGAGAGCCTGATGGAGTGGTAAATCTACCATGGCATCGCTCTTGTGCCCTCATGCACACTCCATAGTTGTTCTCAATGGATATGTGTTAAATGAAGAGGATGAATTAAATGTAAGTACAGAGAGGGCAGCAGCCTTCTGTAAACAGTTGGCTCACAGACAAGTTCACATTACAGCCTTTGAAACATGGTCACCACTGCAATGTGTATTGAAGACAGGGCTCTTTGGTGACAGCAGGTTGAATCACACAGATACAAGGTCTATAACTTACCAGCTAGAGGTCAAGGAGTAAGCTATAGATGTTCTATGCCTTAGTTCCTCATTTGTAAAATAGCACACCTAATTCAGTGTTGATGTGAGGATTAAAATGTGCCTGGAAAGTGCTCAGTCATGGTGTCCAGCAGTGGATACCCCAACAAAAACATGAGCTTTCTTATTCATCTCCTCTGTGATAGTCGTTATTCTAGCTACCATAAGGGCCTGGGGATGTAAGGGCTCTAGCTGCAGCTAGTGAGAGGCAGCACCCGGATCTAAATTCAGATCCCACCAACTCCAACACCAGGGTTTCCCCAGAGCTCAGCTTTGCTTGTTCTCTAGAAGAAACGCATTGGCACAACAAAAAAAGTGGTAAGGGTGCCCCTTTCCACCTGTAGCAGTAGTCCTTCAAAACTGCCCTCCCCCTCAGAACCTCATTTTACCTGGATCACTCCTCCTCCTTGGCTGGCTTTTCCAGCCAGAAATGCCTCTGGCAGCTCCAGCATCTTCCCCAGCCAGTCCATCATCACTGTCTCTAGCTCTGTGCATGCTGGGCTGGCAGCCTGCAGTGGGCAGAAAACGAAGGTGCTAAGCTACAGGGCAGCCGCCCTCCACACAATACTGTGAGATGGGATAACATTGCTTCTTTGGTGACTTGTTTTTGTTTTTGTTTTTTTGAGACAGGGTCTCCCTATAGCCCCACCTGGCCTGGAACTCATTATATAGAGCAGCAGGCTGGCCTCTAACTCACAGAGATCCGTCTGCCTCTGCCTCCAAAGTGCTGGGATTAAAGGTGTATGCCACCACACTCGGCCTGGCCTTTTTGGTGTCTTTTATTTGAATAGTTTAATGAAAAGTTTTAAAATTTTTCCAACAATTCACCCCTGGGTGAGAATTAATTCCATGATTCCTGTAGTTTGAATGCATCTTCCCACATTCATATGTTAGAAACTGCATCCCCCAATGAAAATAGTAAGCGGACTTTAAGGGGCTACCAGCCTTGATCATGAATTATGGAAACTGGGTCATCTCAGGAGTGGGTTAGATAGAAATGAAGATGTTCAGCCCATCTCTCTCTGCCTCCCACACTTACAGCCTGCTTCTGTTATCACACAGCGAGGCCTTTGCTGACAGATGCCATGCCATGTTCTTGGACTTTGCATCCTCAAGTAGATGTCTCATGTTTACAGAGTACCCAAACTGTGGTGTTTTAGTCTAGCCCAGCAAATGGGCTAAGACAATGCCATGTTCTCACTTCCCAGAGATCCAGAGGAGTCCCAGGGGCTGGTTCTACCAGGAGGCTTGGGACTAGTACCACTGAGAGAACTTCACGGAGGACATTTTTCCTCTCTCCCTCACTGGGGGCCTTCTAGATCTGCCACAGGAAACCATGGATGGCCTCTACGGGGCTCCTACTGACTTAGCTCACCATCCCCATCATCTCTCTATGACAGCCTTGGGTCACACAAAGTGAGCCAAGAACTATCCCTGAATAGGTCAACCTCCCCAGCCTCACCAACACACACACAACACACACACACACACACACACACACACACACACACACACACCATGATTCTGCAGGAGATATTGCTAGAGCAAGGGATCAAGCGCTAAAGAATTTGGGGTCAATTTTGAATCCAAGATTAAAATCTCCTAATCTCACATGGACCTCAAATGATAAGCCTCAGGCCTATCTTCTTTCGTCAAGACTGGTACAAGGAGAATGGTTAGAAGAAGCCTGTAGGCACCCCTATGAACCTTACTCCATCATGTGTTCCTGTGACTGCCTTTCATGCTTGATCACATACTTATTTATTTATTTATTTTTTTATTTATTTATTTATAGAGAGATCTAGAAAGGTCCACTGGTAGACCCTCCTCTCTGATCATGAGTGAATGAAAAGACTGGAAAGCGGACACAGGCTGCTTTCATCTTCTGGGCATTGCTTGACAAGACATTGACCTTGTCTACTCTGTTAAGTTCCCAGTGACTTTGTTATATGGACTCTCCCTTCTCATTGCACACAATAGATGGCAGAGTAGCCTTGGGCCCATCCAAAGTAGACTGAGTCTCCATCTTCATTTGGGTCTCCGCTTAAGGGGCCCACCATGGTGACCAGAGTGTTCTTGTATCTACCTGTGCAGTATGACATTGTAGGTAAGAGGAAGTGAGAACTTTCTTCCTGCTGGTCAGGTCAACCCTATCCTTGTGGGTTCTACTGAGGTCAGATTAAGCTTAACTTTAGACGAAGGTCTAAGGTCAGCAGGTGATACTGAGTCTTCAGGCATAGATGCTGCAGCTCTGGATCATCAGAACCACATCAATGAAACCTGCCACTACAACATTTAATGAAAAAAAAAGGTCCTTCAGGAGAGGATATGCACAACCCCCAGGAGGCGGTCCCAGGTGCTTGACAGAGGAACAGTGGAGACAGATGTAGCAGGAGGCCCTCCTCGGCCTTTTCCATGGGCCTGTGAATCCCTCTTGCCTGGTGGGACCCCAACTTGAAGAAAGGCAGGTGCCAGATGGTGAAGCAGGCAGCTCAGTTGGGCTTTTCTGGCTTCTGTAAATTCAAAACCTTCCCCTTTCTGCATCCCAGATCCTTACTCAACACCAGCCAATATCTCAAGTCCATTGGACTCCAAGGCACAGACAAGGTAAACACACTGTATCTAGAGAATCAAAGACAGTTTGGGGAACTCCTCACAGTGTAGGCACCCTCAGGACCCCTGATAGTCAATGACACCTGCATCAAATCTCTCCTGAAGCATACTATTGGGGCCCTGAGAGCAGGAAGATCCAGTCCTGTTCTGAGCTGGGACCTTTCTAAGCCTTTTACTCCATGTAGGAAGAGACCTCACATAGGGAGGGACAAGAGGCCTGCAGGCAGGCACAGGTTCATTTCCAGACACTTTTGCTCTGTGTACTTGCCCATCTGAGGGACTGGGCAGTAGCTTGGTGGAGGGCAGATGGACTGAGACAGGGGTAGCCATGTTCTCAAATTTCAGAGTGCATAGCAATCTTCTGGTCTTAGGGAAATGCAGGATCCAATCTTGAGCTGCAGAAACTCCACTGCTGTTGACTGGGATTTTGATTCAAATCAAGTACTTGGGAAAAACTGCCTTGTGTCCCTTCCCTCCCCTCCCCCTTCCCTTCCCCCTTCCCTCCTCCTCCCCCCCTTCCTCTCCCCTTCCCTTCCCTCTCCCCTCCACTTCCCTCTCCTTCCCTCCCCTTCCCCTCCCTTTTCCCTTCCCCTCTCCCTTTGCCTCTTTCTTTTTTCTCCCTCTCCTTCCTTCCATGTAAATCCCTCTTCCCTTAGAAAGTCCCTCCCTGGGACCCAAACTCTACTTCCTACAAAGTGGCCCTGCTGCACACAGGTGCACAGCCATCTGCTTTTGTCCTGTATGCAAAGAGATCACCTCCCCATGCAAGAACATCTAAAACCCCAGGCTCATCAAGATACTCACCCAGGAGAAGCCAACGCATCCGATGGCCCCACACAGCATGTCTGCAAGCATGGAAGGATATGAGCTCGCTGTGGGGAAGTAGGCGAAGAAATAAGGACTGTGCCAGTGGGTCACCTGTGGGAAAAGGCGCAGTTACTCTGGGGCAAAGGAGTCAGGCTGTACTAGAGCAAGATACCAGATGCTTCTGGGTTGCACGCAGAAGGCAGTTTGGATGCAGTTTCCCAAGTTCAGTTATCCTACACCTTCCTTCCTAGTTCTACCTCATTGTAACGACAATAACCAGACTCCCTGCTTTGTGCTTGAATAGATCTACTAGTCAAGAAGGAGATGTGTTCATAAGGTAATATGGGGAAATCACTATAATTTGTCACAACAAATAAAGTCTCCAGGTATGATAACCAGACTCGTATTCCTTGCCAAGTTAGGGAAGATGCAGCACCAGAGGTTTGAATCTTAGAGTTCAAAGCTCAGTTTTCTCTCAAACTGCTCTAGCAAACCTGTTGGGAGTGTTTCATTTATTTATTTAGGTTTTTTGTTTGTTTTTGTTTTTTGTTTTTTTTTTGTCTTTTTGAGCAGGGTCTCTCTGTTGCCCCAGATAGCCTGGAACTCACTATGTAGACCAGGCTGGCCTTGAACTCACAGAGATCTGCCTGCCTCTGCCTCCCGAGTGCTGGGATTAAAGGAGTGTGCCCGATTTCTTTATGTTTCTTTAGTGCAGTCCCAGATGTCCACCTTGTCTCACGGGCCCTCCTCTCTAACTTATACAAGCTGCTCTGTCAGCCAAATAGCATCCTGCAGAACTTCCACCTCCTCTTTCTCCAGAATGGCCACTGTCTCCTGACTTCTTCATGGCTGCAAGCTGCGTACCTTCTTCAGCCCAGAGGGAATGAACACTCACTCTGTGCAAACCCTGGATTAGGCACAGAGGAAAAACTTAGGTGGACCAAGGAGGACACACACCTAGGTGGTGATTTTGGGAGGCCCAGGGATATGGGGAGCTAGGGTAGCACTGAGGACAGTTATATGGCCATCACTGGTTATATGGCAGGATTCTCTGTCCATTCTCTGTGTGCGTTGAAACCCTATCCCCCACAAATAGCAGCATTAGGAGGTGGAGCCTTGGTGAGGTAATTATGTCATGGGAGTGGATCCTTCACTATGGGATCAGTGGTAAGAAGAAACCAGACAGATTGTAGACTAAAAGTTCCAGATCTGGCCTGTGGAGAGTACTGACATTATACATGTTTGGAAAACTTGAACTCCTCAGAGCTTTCACTGAACAATTTATGGTTTTGTAATATTGAAAGCTGAATTTCTACATGGTGCTTTCTGTCAGGATAAGGAAATGCTTTTCTCCAAAGCTCAGAGTACTTAGATCATCTGATCAAATGATTCTAAAAAATTAAGGTTGACTCCCAATCCAGGAAATGGAATTCTTTCTGCATCTGTAGCCCATCAGGCCATATCTGAGTTTCTCCTCCAGCTTCTAATAAGTCATTCTTACATTTCATTGATTATAAGCCAAAGCTTTGTTGAGTTTTAAGATCTCTGAATGCAGGATGCACCCTCACGCCGTATGGAAACACTCCCATGGTATCTAAACACCCCCCCCCCATCATCAAATCTCTGTAGCAAGATTTCTAGGCAGAGTTTTTTGTTTGGTTGGTTGGTTTTTTTTTTTTTTTTGGTCTTTTTGAGATAGGGTCTCCCTGCAGCCCCAGCTGGCCTGGATTTGCTATGGAGACTAGACTGGCCTTAACTCACAGAAATCTGCCTGCCTCTGCCTCCCGAGTGCTGGGATTAAAGAATAGGCCAGG